GAATACATAGGTCATGGGGCGACATGCACGCTCTTAGTACGGCTCTCACTACTATATTCGCTCATTTTCCAAACCAAGGTATTGGGAGTATGTTCATGGACGCCCAGGTGTGTGACAATCTTAGCCTTGTGCCAATCTTCCATGGAGTGGCGCGTACTTCCCGCAGCATCGACCATGCTGTCCGAATAACACCAGTGACAACTCCGATCCACCTCAAGCACTATTCATAAGCATAATATCGCTCCCAGAGATGATTTCGGTACGGCTTCGCTGGGCGACATCTCACGAGCAGCCTTGCAACCGCCCATTAGAGGCGCAGCATACGTCGTGGAGCGGCCGTGACTCTTCTCACATGGTGTGCCAATGCATGTTCAGAAATTTTATCGTGGGCTCAACCATTCCGTTCTCTAGGCAAGGTATCGGGATACCACATACAAGTGTGTGTTTAACAGGGAAGCTTAATTAGACTTGTAGCGGGTCGGATATCTTGAGAAAAGCTTACGCTCATTCAGAAATGTGTGTACCCATTGATGCCGCAATGGACTCACACCACAAAGCAAGGCTTTCATACACTTTCATAGCGGGATGTTATCTTCCAACAGCTTTATGCTCTCATCATATCACGTAGTTTTTCTGACGCTTCGTTTTCCAGGGATCGCGAACGAGGCCGCCAAGAAAGGCCGGCCTTTTGCACCCCATTGAGTTTTTTCTCCCTTTTACTTTATTTTGATCATTATAAAAGCCTGGGGACACTGGCGTAAAAGATTATCATCCTGGCGAGAACATCGCTCTTAGAGAAGCTATCCACCAATCCCTCCGCTTTGCCCCCAGACATTCAGCAACATGTCTTCAGCCAATGACGATCTCGACTCTGCGAATATGGCAGAGGTCCGCTCCATATTCGTAGACTATACCAAACGCGCCGGGATGGAAAAGTTCAACTATCCGGCCACTGATCTCATCAAGCTCCTCATCCTATACTGTACCATTCAGAACGGTTCGCCAGGTCACGGTCACACGGGGTCCGTAGGCTGGCGAAATTTGGCGCTGTCACAGGTCACATGAGAGTATCTGGCGAACGGTTTTCTGTGACCATTTTTGATGGCCCAAAAACAAAAATTTCTCTTTTTTTCTCTGTCAAATTTGCCACTATAGCCCTCGGGAAGGGCTAAACGACGGCGAAACAGATTCTAGTAGTGAGCCTGCGAAGGTGTTGATAAGCGGCCGGGATCATCCGAGCAAACGTACGAGAAAGTACAACAAAGAGTCTCACGAAGCGCCACATCATCTCTCACACGTCCTTCCACCATCTCAGTCCTGCCTCCGAGTAACGCGAATTCTCCTTACGCTTTCTCTTCCCATCCACTCCAACAGCTGTAGACGATGATTCCGCAAGCTTTCCTTCCTCAACCTGTGGCTCATCATTCGACTCGGCTGCAGCATCCGCCGCAATGCCACCATCAGATGAAAACTTGACCGGAACACGAGGTTTGCGACCAGCAATCACAGCGTGTACGACGTCAAAGGGTAGATCACTGTCATCCTCGAGAGCAGCATCCAGGTCGGGCTCTAGGTCTTCAGCGAGGGTTTGGTTTGGTTGTGATGGTACATTTGTTTCCTCGAATGTTGTACCGGTCAGTTCTGCATAAAACTCGGGGTCGGTGGCTTTGAGATTGTTCAACCTCGCACGCGTTGTTCGAGCGTCAGTCAAGCTGTCATATGACAGATTGAATTCTCGCACGCGGCACATCTCGAATGCCTAGACAGTTAGAAATCGTACATCAGTGTTGTGACTCCATATTAGCAACCAGACGTACCTTCTTCACGATGTCAGGCTTGTTGAGAGTTTCGTACGCTGTCCATATCCAACCCACACTGGCATCACGAAGCGGGCCGAGCTTCTGATCCAGTTTGATCGTCTCCTTCTTCTTCTTCGTCTTCAGTTGGCCCAAAATTGACTCGACGACATATGCATGGTATGATTTCTTGCAGGAATGTTTGAATATTCGCTGCATGCCAACGTCACAAGCCTGGAAGACACCTGTACACCCTCCCGGAATGTAGTGGACAATAATAGTCGGGTGTGTTTTCTTCATCCAGGTCCTGAATTGTTCAGACCGATGAACTGACCATACATCTATTTGCCACAGCACCTTCTGCGTGTCCGGTAGGCCGAGCTCACGCTTTTTGCGTGCGAAGTATGGGGAAATGATGTTGTTGACAAGAGAGCGCATTGTTTCTTGATTCGACCAGTACGTCTCTGTCTTTGAGGGCTCGAATAGAAATCCAGATTTGACAGCGTCGTCGTAATGCGGGGCTTTCTTTGTAGGACAGCTTCCCTGTGTTTGTCCAAAGTAGACGGATTGGAGTGGGAGCATTTCGCCGTTGTTCGAGAGCGAGACCACGATCGTAAAGGCCCGCTTCTCGTCCAACCCGACCGTCGTAACCTGCGTAGAGCCCGTCTTCGCCCAAGTCAGATTTGACCCCTGAGCGTAGACAAGCTGGGTCTGGTCGCTGTTGACGGTCAGCTCCGAAGGTATGTCTTCCTCCTTGATGGTCCATGCCATCCGTAGAAACGCACGCTCACAGATGTCTTCCCAATTATCTGGTAGCTTCTGAGCAGCACGCGTCGAGCGGCGTTCCGACCAGCCCAAGTTTGCATGGAGGAAGCGACGGAGGAATGAGTCTGAGCATCGAAATACGGACCCATCGGATGCGCGTTTCTCGAATATCTCGGGTCGCATCTCCTGTATTGTGGCTACGACGATTCCCCGAGCGGTGACGAGGGAGACTGGGGCGTTGAGATCACGCACGGACGTCAAGCGCTCTTCGATGACCTCCACAACGTCGGGGTGAACTGCCTACATAATGTAAGTGAGTCTTATGTTCACATTCACTATCAATTGTGCGAGGACTCACCAGATCGCCCCGTCGTCCACCTTTATTCCCGTCGGCCTGGTGGTTTCCTAGTGCAGCTTGGCGTCTTGCGCTATCCGTCCAGCGCGCGGGTATCTTGTTCCGCGTATCCTCCGGGACAATCCAGTCTCGGATGGTCTCGCGTCTGATGTCACCGAAGGTTTGGAGGTCTTGCCGTCTAAGCCAGTTTCGGATAGCTGATGCACTCCATCCAACAGCTCGCTGGCCGGCCTCGATTTGGTTCCACAGAAATGGAGCATGCCAGTTCACATACTTCGCATCCGACTTCTCCACCGTACGTTTACGTCCCTGAGGTTTGCGATCCTTGTTCCTGACTTTCTCGTTTGTAGCGCGTTCGGGTCGGCTCAACTCTGCGATGTTGTGCTTTGAACGCTTTGACGACGGGTCAACAACGTCATTGATGGTCCGGTTCTATTGCATGGATATGTTAGATGATTGCATCACAGAAGGTGAGAGAAATTCACCAACCGAAGCCTTTCGTTTCTTCCCGTTTGAGTCACGCACGCCTGTGAGAATGTCCTTAGCCTTCTGTGCTGCACGTGACTTTCGCTTTCGGAGGGTTGCTGCGTTCGTCGAGGCTCCCTTCTTCACTTCCATGTCCCCCTCGAAGCGTTCCTTGATGTCTGTATATGAATTCCGAGCTGACTCGGATTCCACAGTTATCTGCTCTCGGCGCGATTCCTGAGTGTTTCTCTTCGAGAACCAACTGATGAGGCTATTCGACCGAGTTTCGCTTGCGGGTAGAGGGTTCAAAGCCCGGTGAATGGCGCTGACTGCTTGGACTTTTTGTACCGGTGCTGCCTTTGACGAAGAAGATGGTACAGGGGGAGTCGGGGTGGAGGTCGAACCACTTGGCTGGTTCGGGGCCGGTGAAGCTGAGGATTTAGGACGTGAGAGATGGCCCATGGGGGAGGTTAGTCGTGATGAGGAAGGACTGCGTGACTTGGTACGCGGTAAGTCCTCGATCCTCTCGAGAGCGCCTGCCAAAATCTTGCTGATTCGAGACTTTTTCCGCGGTGCAGTGCTCGTCTCCCCCGTGAATGTAGAATTCGCAACTGCCGCAGAGACGTTCATCGGGAGAGAATCGTCTGATGAGGATGACGGAAGGTCGAGATCAGGAGACGGACGCCTATCGGTGGCACGAGCATCTTCGAAGCTTTCGACAGATCCTGATCTAGGTGTAGGTGTGTGCCCACGACGTATCGATACGACATCAGATGCTGATGACATTACACGATGGAAAGCTCGTTTCAAGCGGTTCGGTGTCTTCTGGCCAGTCGAATGTCCCACAGATCCGGCGGCCGAAGGATCGCCAACTTCCTCCACCTCCTGCGACTGCGAAGCAGAGAATGATGGACTGCTGGGGACGGCTTCGGCGTTTGAGATGAATCCGGCGTCTGACGAAGGGGGAGGTAGGATTGAATACGACGATGCGGGACTAGGGGTGGTGCCTAATAAGTTGTCGGCTGATATGTGTGGCGTCGTGTCGTCGTGTCGATGTGGGAGTGCAGGGCTGGATGGTCGGGCATGTGGAACGTCTTCTATGACTTCCATGCTGTTCGAGGACGCAAGAGACGCAGAATCACCCGTCGTTGAGTGAGTGAAGTAGTCGTCCAGTGACGAGGTGAAGGTGAACTGATATCCTTGCGCTTGAGCATCAAAGGTCTGTTCGACAGAGTTGAACATAAGTAGGCTATCGAGAAAGCGAGGAACGTTACATACCCTATCCTCATGACGTTCGAGGACCTTGAGAAGGGTGCAGAGCCGTTCCTCGTCAAGGCGGTTGCGGTCCATGAGGGGATACTGCTCCGGTAGGCAGAAATGGCCGAGTGTGTTATTTGCCAGCATACCACAGTTGTGAGTGTCCGGCTGATCTGTCGTTTCCAGCCGTTTCTGCACAAACACAAGGCCAACATGGTGTTGAGTCCACCAGTCGATGACCGCCACAAAGTCATCGTCAGGAGCCCAGCCGAGGGAGTCTCCGTACAGGAATTCCGAACGTTCGAAGTCGAGGACAATGGCGACCCAATGGTTTTGATGGATGTTTGTGAGAAACCCCACTGCCTTTCGCTCCCCCATTGCCAGTGCTTGTCCAATACCTCGTGCTCTAACAAACTCTTTCCCTTTCCTATATTCCTCAGCCCCTAGCTCATGTGCCCGCTTCATCTTCTCAAAGAAGCTCAAGTTCTCAACCTCAATCTGCGAGCCCCGGGAATGAAGACGGACATCACGTCGTAAGATGTCAAGCATCTGATGCTGGTGTACGCCAGAGAACCAAGCTTTTGGGGATGCATAGGTGGCAACAGTGTGGAGGGGCTCGTTGTTGCTGAAACCGTGGATCGTTCCCGACCAAGGTAAGACAGACAGCGTGTCGTACACACTTTGGATCAAAGTGTGGTCGACCTGCTGACCTTTAGGTTTCTTCCAGACCTTCAACTGCAGTCCCAGGCTCTCGTCTGCCGCACTCCATGCATCTCGAATCTGGCGGAGTGATATGACCTCGGACCAGTAGAGGATTGTCCACAGTGGAAAGTAACGGGGGGTGGTAGAGGTAATGTGAGCGTAGACGACAGATTTCTGGCCAGTGCGAAGTATTGCTGAGAGAGCGGAGCGGAGGGTTTCAACTGTTGATGCGGGGGGTATTGGTATTTTCTGTATCTGTGTGGGTGTATCATAATTCACGGGCTGGCGGCTGAAGAAGTCACTGGCCGAGAGTTTGCTGCAGTTGGCTTTTGTGACAACCGGGAGTCCGAACTTGAGGAAGTCGAGAACACCGGAATCAGGAGCTGGAAGGAGAGCTTCTCTCGCATGAGGGGGCATGTCGAGGAGATTCTTTAATTCATGGGAGCTACTGTCAGCTGCAGGAGGTGGCATACTGATGAGTGTCTGCAGGCGGAGGGAACAACAAGCAAGCAAAATGTGGGTGAGACCAGGATGTCTCGAACAATTTGCGCTCATGTGGCGCAAATGACCTGAGTGGCCTTACGTGTACCACAAATATTTTAAACTCCGCTATAAGTGTCTAAGTACTTAAGTACGCTACGCAGCCTTGTCATAAGTACAGCTGAATATTTAGAGGAATTTTGATTGATTTAGAAGGACATACACTCAGTAGCTATGGTACGGAGAAGGCGGTGAAAAATGGGTGTGGTCACAGGTCACAATGAGCGTCTGGTGTGGCGAAATGTGAGGTTTTTGGTCACGGTCACAAGTGGGTGGCGAACCGTTCTGAATGGTACAGTA